AGTTTTGAGCTACCGCCACAGTGCATCACGATGTTCAGTCAAGCAAGTTTCAGAGGGCGGCCTACTGAGGATCCCATTGCTCACTTGACTCAGTTTAAGATGCTGTGCAGATTAGTTAGGAAGCCACGAGGAATGACCATCGAGGATGTATATTTGGAGGCTTTTCCTTTTTCACTGATGGACCGGGCGAGAGATTGGCTCTGCACCCTTGAGCCGAACTCGATTATGACATGGGAGGAGCTAGAGGAGCAGTTCATGGCGAGATACTACTCCCCAGAGAAGACTCGAGCTGCCCAGAGAGCCATACACAGCTTCACTCAAGAGAGTGATGAGAGTCTGTATGACGCATGGGAGAGATTCAAAGGCTATCAACGCCTTTGTCCACACCACGGCATGGATAAGCGACTGCTGCTTTCCACATTCATCCACGGACTGAGAGACGATACTAGAGCATGGATGGATGCAGCTTGTGGAGGGAGTGTATACGACATTCCCTTTGACACCCTAGAGATGCAGATTGCGAAGATGGCTAAAGCAAGAGGGATGTCCGGAGATACTCTGCAGGACGGGCAAATTTGGGCTAGTCTGCTGCCTTGAAGGCAGTCATGTCTGATTTATCGGCGATCAAGCAGCATATGGGACTCAAGAATACGTCTATCCCGTAGAAAGTCCAGCCTGGTATGTTTCCGGTTGATCAGGCCACATCAGAGGAAGAACCGGTTGAGGACATCAACTACATTGGAAGGAATCAGTACCAGAATCCTTCTAATCTCTACAACCCGAATGCGCCTAGAAATCATCCCGGTTTCTCCTACGGAAATCCGAGCGGAGCATTGAATGCGCAGCAACAGGGCGTTTCCAGAATCCCTCAGAATCCACCGGGCTTCACTCCATCACGTTTTCAGGTGCAGAATCAGGGATATGAGCAGCAGAATCCAGGATACGGGCAGCAGAATCAGGGTTACCGAGCACCTCAACCTGCGAAGAATGATGAAGCGGACATCAAGACGATGCTTTCCCAACTAATGCTCGATCAGAAGACATCATTTACGGAGCTGAAAACCGAGGTACAGAGCATAAGGGCAAGGCAAGACACCTTTGAGAGGAGACTTGATGGGATGGATGCACATATGAAGCTAGTGGATACACAGATCGCACAGCTTGCATCACAACCCTCTAGGCAGCAGGGCACATTTCCT